CCCTACATCATTCGGCGTTGGGGCCTCAAAGGAAAAGCCTTTGGATCTGACCTGGGGAACCACTGCTTTCAGTTTCGCTTCGATCTAGAAGAGGATATGCAAAAAGTCTTGAACAACAGACCATACCATCTCAACAAGTGGATGATAATTCTCCAGAAGTGGGAACCGATTATCGACCCATCATTCCCTTCGCTGGTCTCTTTTTGGATACGCCTCGACGGCCTCCCACTCCACTACTGGAAGGAAGAGCTTATCTGATCTATAGGAAGGGACGTGAGACCTTGTGTCTTTTGAAATCTCCAAGAGCTGTGCAAGACTTCGAGTGGAAGTTAACGTCTTAAAACCACTCGTGAAAGAAACTATAGTGGAATTCAAAGGAGGGGTTGAGACCCTGGTTACACTCACCTATGAGAAACTGGAGAATCATTGTTCTTTCTGTGGTATGCTCTCCCACTTGGTCACCTCCTGCCCTGCACGTCAGCGTCCACACCGAGCACCTCTCCAAAACACTGACAAGGGGAAAACCATCTCGCACCATCGGGAATCCTCAGGCACCTCAGGGGAAAAGCAAACCCCTTTTGCAGAAAGACTTGACAGATATGGCAAACCTTTTGGCTCTCGTCCTTCATCCCGCCAACGTCTCCACCCTCTTGAACCCAAGTCACCAGTGCGCATTCCCACCCCAGGCTCTACATCAGCTAAGAACTCGAGTCAGAATCTCCCACAGTCTCCCCAATATCTGCGAGAAAGAGACTCTCACCATCAATGCATCACCTAAGAGTCTCGCCACAGGCCTGGGGACCAGAACACCTCTGAAGAACCGGGGAGCCCCTCTTGTCACCGCTCCGCCTCTGTGAATCGAAAAATCTGGCAAGCAAAAGCCACCCCTGAACGCTCTGTCCAAGATTTCGAAGTGGAATCTCGCGAAACCTTAAGGCCTCCCCTCGAACGAAATTTGGACGAAGAAGGCTTCCCACCTCCACCTGCGATCACAACAATTGAATCAATTCTTGAGGAATTTTTGGAGGTTACAATACATTATATTAATTGTGATGACCCTATTGAGAGCGCAGCTCGAGTTCAACGAGTCATCGATGGAGAAACCAGAGGCTTAACGGCAGAAACAGTGGCTTATATGCTGGCATCTGCCTTATAAGGCCACCCAACCAACCAACAAAATGCTCTGCTCCCAGGTGAATCATCTAGGCAGGTTGTCCTCCCTTCCGCTCCTGCGAACTCCACTCTCTCAAACCCCTCTATGGGCCCATCAAACGCCCCTGCTAAAAGGAAGAGAGGGAGACCTCCTACAAATCAGAAGAATACCATTAACACTGCCTCGGGCCCAAGTTCATCTGTTATGAAAAAGAAAGGAAACCTTCTCAGAATCTCACCTCTATCCCGCATGCTGCAGAGCCGATCTTCTCCTGCCCATCACGGTCATGGTACACGGAGATCTCATCCATCCTCATCTCCGGCTCTACCTATCCGATCCCCACCCCAAGCTTCGATTGTCCCAGATATCTCAAGAGACAAGTCAGATTTTCGGGACCTGAGGTATCCTCTTCCTTAGCTATTCTGAGCTGGAACTGTTGTGGGCTGGGGAATCCACAACAGTTCATCGCCTGGGGGAACTACACAAGAAACCAACCCCCGATAGCACTTTTCTCACTGAGACTAAGAACCAAGACAGTTTCATCAGGAAATCTCTTACCTTCTTGGATCAGGAATCTCAGTTCTTTCTTCATCCCCACAGGCCTGGTGGAGGCGGCTTAGCTCTCTTCTGGAAGAAAGACATAAACCTCACTGTCCTGTCATCAGAACCAAACTACATTGATGCAACAATAACCTATAAAAACAAGAACTTTACCACTACCTTCCTTTACGGGGAAATGGATCAATCAAAGAGACTTCAACGATATTTTGAGTAATGATGAGAAATCTGGTGGACCTCTCAGATCTGAAGGCTCTTTCGGTGACTTCAGGAGCTTCATTACCCAAAATGATCTATTTGACTTGCAACACAGTGGAAATCCTTTTTTCATGGAGAGTTGTTCGCTATAACCACCTCGTCCAGTGTAGACTGGACCGCTTTATGGCATCTAGCTCCTGGTTTGAACTTTTCCCAACAGGATGCTGTAGATACTTACAGTTTGAAGGGTCTGATCACTGCCCAATCATCACCTGGCTCGAACCCTCAAAGGTTAGAAAGGGCGGTATATTCCGCTATGACCGCAGACTTCGAGATAACCCAGAGATAAAATTCATCATTTCTTCCGCTTGGAACCTCTGCGAATGGGATTCTGCCGAACGTAAAATTGCAAGATGCAGATCAGCGATCTCAGCCTGGACAAAAGACCACCACATAAACAGTCAAAGAGTCATCAACAATGAGAAGTCCCGTCTGGAATTAGCTATGAGTGCATCAGTACATTATGAAGCTTTGATAAGAGAGATAAATGAAATTTTAAAGAAGGCTTACCTCTTAGAAGAGGAGTATTGGAAACATAGGAGCCAAAATCTATGATTAGCTCTTGGAGATAAGAATTCTAGCTTTTTTCATGCCACTACTCGAAGCCGAAGAACTATAAACCGCTTCTCTGTCTTGGAAAATAAAGATGGTTGTCCTGTATACGAAGAAGAGGAAATTGTCCAAGTTATTAAAGACTATTTTCAGGACATCTTCATTACCAGGTCATCGGAGTGTGACACCGTGGTCGCACAAGCCCTCAACCCCCATATCACTGCAAGAACAGAATGCAGCCCTGATCGCCGATCCATCAAAAGAAGAAGTTCGGTTGGCCCTCTTCTCCATACATCCAAACAAAGCGCTGGGCCCCGACGGATTCTCTGCAAGCTTTTTCCAAACTCACTGGTCAGTAGTTGGAGATAAGATAACAGAAGAAATCCAAACCTTTTTCTCAACAGGTGTGCTCTCCCAATCCCTGAACATCACTCACGCCAGGTTGATACCCAAAGTTCAGTGCCCAAAAACGGTCTTGAAATACCGTCCCATAGCCTCTGCAACGTTTACTATAAGATTATATCCAAGGTGCTTACTCGACGGTTGCAACCTCTGCTCTATTCTATCATATCCGATACAAAATCCGCCTTTGTTCCTGGACGCGCAATCTCGGACAACGTCTTGGTAACACATGAGACTCTGCACTATCTAAAAAACTCAAAAGCCACAAAACACTGCACTATGGCCGTTAAAACGGACAGGAGTAAAGCCTATGATAGGCTGGAGTGGAATTTTATTGTGGCAGTGCTAGAGAGGCTTGGTTTCCTCGCAAAATGGATAAACTGGATTTTCCAGTGTATTTCAACAGTATCCTATACCTTTCTAGTAAACGGAGCTGCACAAGGAGATGTCTTACCTCAACGAGAGATCCGTCAGGGAGATCCCTTATCACCTTACATCTTTATTCTCTGTGGCGAGGTCCTCTCCGGCTTATGCTCCAAAGCTAAATCAAGTGGCATCTTTCCGGGCATCCGCGTGGCAAGAGGCTGTCCGAATCTCAACCATCTGTTGTTTGCCGACGACACCATGTTTTTCACCAAAACCACTTCTCTGTGCTGCGATACTCTCAATGAGATTCTCAGGAAATATGAGGCTGCTTCAGGCCAGATGATCAATAATCAGAAATCAGTCATTATATTCTCGGGAAAAACACCTCAAACAATTAAAGACAGAGTGAAGGTATCCTTGGAATCAGTAAGGAGGGAGGCCAAGGCAAGTACCTGGGTCTTCCAGAGAGCTTTGGTCGCAAGAAAAAGATCTCTTTACCTTGATCGTCGATCGAATCAGGCACAAGTCAGTCAGCTGGTCTACGAAATGTCTCTCTAGTGCAGGAAAACTCACCCTCTTGAAATCTGTTCTCTCAGCTATTCCTACATACACGATGACATGTTTGAAGATCCCCATAAGTCTTTGTAAATGAATTCAGACAGCTCTTACCAGGTTTTGGTGGGACTCTGACTCAGAAAAAAGGAAGATGGCTTGGGTCTCTTGGCGAAAAATGTCAAAACCAAAATGTGACGGAGGACTTGGTTGTCGCGATATTCAGTGCTTCAACGACGCCTTGTTGGCTAAACTAAGTTGGAGGGTCTTAAGCAATCCGTCCTGCTTGCTTGTGAGGGTCCTGTTGGGGAAGTACTGCAACTCAAAGCCTTTTCTCCATGCTCAACCAGCTTCAAACGCATCTCACGGATTGAGAGGAATCCTCATAGGTCGTGACCTCCTCTTTCGACAACTAGGCCGCTCTATTGGTAATGGCAAGTCGACATCGCTATGGCGGGATCCCTGGCTCTCGTTGATCTCCCTTTCCGCTCCGATCGGACCTGCAACATGAGAAACAAAAGATTGGAAAGTTGCAGACCTCATCTCGGAAAATACAGGACAATGGGATGTAACCAAGGTGCTTGATATCCTCCCTATGCACGCAAATGAGATTTTCCAGCTTAAACCGAGTACGAAGGATGGAGAAGATTCCTTCATCTGGCTCCCCACTAAGTCAGGAAGCTACTCCTCAAAGTCGGGCTACCATATTGCCATAGCCTCGTCTGCGAACCTGGCAAACCCGCCCCAACACCCCATCAAATGGAACAGAGATATTTGGTCAGCCAAAATTCTCCCAAAAATCAAAGTCTTTACTTGGAAAATAATCCAGAAAGCTTTTGCTGTAGGAGAAAACATGTTAATCAGGGGTCTACCTGAAGATCCGGGATGCATCCACTGCGGTGATCTGGAGACAACGGACCATCTGTTCCTTTCTTGTCCTTATGCCAGAGCTGTTTGGTCCCTCGCACCGCTGCTTACCCCCTTCACCCCGATAACATCCACCACCTTCATCGACACACTTTGGGGCTCAAGACATTGGATCTGTTTACCGCCTTCTAGGGTTGGATCGGGACCCATCTTCCACTGGATCTGCTGGTCCATTTGAAAGACTTGGAATCGCCTCCTCTTCGAAGATTGCCTCTTCTCGCCTAAGAAAACCATGTCTAAAGTCATCGCCGATGCTAGAGAGTGGCAATCGGCCCAAACCCAAATCCCTAAACGATCCTTATTGGCTGGTGATGCTTGCCGTCCTCCACCTCGCTCTGAACTGATCCGAGTCTTCACCGACGGAGCCTGGAATGAGGAAACAAGTATCACAGGCTTAGGATGGGTCTTCCTCCAACCAAATGGAGAAGAAATCACATCCGGTCAAGCAGCTGAAGGCTCGGTGTCCTCCCCTCTTGTTGCCAAAGCCCTCGTGATCCGATCGGCTCTAGATCATGGCCTCTCCTTGGGCATCTCAGCTATGATTATCAACTCGGATGCTCAACTTCTCACTCGAGCTATCAACTCGCAGGCGAAAATTAAGGAGATCTATGGTTACCTTTTTGACATTAACGCTCTTGCATCCCTGTTTTCGTCGATTTCCTTTATTTTCATTAGTAGATCTGCAAAAGCTGCTCTGCGTGAACTCCCACCTATCTCCTTGTATTCCCTTTAGCTTCCATTTAATGAAAAATGACCGTTCAAAAAAAAAAATAAAGTTAAAGGTTTAGGGTTGTGTTTGGGTTTTAGAATCTGATATATTTTTATGGCAAATACATGGTTATATCATTAAAAATTTCAAAATATTTGAATATTTCAAATAGTTGTTAAAAGTTTGTGATTTTTTTGTGATTAATTAGCCACAATTCAACCATGGATTAAATCCGTGGCAAATTTGTCAAGAAAAATTTCTTAAAATATGTGGCAAATATTGACACGAATTTTTTGTACCAATTTGTGGTAAATTTTGTCACATAATGCCACAAATTTCGTACAAGTGGCAAATTTGACACGAATTTATCACAAAATATAACAAAATTTTAAAAAATATTTTTCGTAGTAAATTTCTTATAATTTTATGGTAAAAATTAGTTACCACAAAAAAGCTGTGGCAAAATTCTTGCAATAAACAACATTTCTAGTAGTTGTTTATATTATATTTGTATATTTAGAATTTTAGGCTGGTTGATTATTATAAAAAATAACATATTCATTTATCATTTACGTTATTATAAAAATATTATTTAAATTTAAATATTTAAATTTTATAAATTAATATCCGATTTTTATTTTTGTAAATATATAATAACAATTGATTTTAGTGATTTAAACTAAATCTCTAAGCTATATTTATGGAAATTCAAAATAATCAAATTTATATCTATATTTTCGGAATTAAATGTAACTGTAAAATATAATATATATTTAATTAAATATTATATCCAATTAGATTAATATTAAAATAGTTTCGAAGCATAACTTCTTAACAAAAAATAAGAGGTGTTTAGATGCATATACTAAAAATGTTTTTCTTTTACTAAGATAAATTAACAAAGATCATAAAACATTGATAAATAACTATAAATCAAATATTAAAACAATATTACAAAAACATATTAATAAACAAATATTAATATAAATTACATATAATTTGTAATAGTACACACAAACAAAATCATAAATTACAAAGAAATTACTAAATCAATGTTATATGAAAGCAGCTGTTTGAGGCTTTTGAGAGTGTCCATGTTAGCTTCTTAAAAACTTCAGGAAAAAATGTCATGTCATCAATAGTTTTTACCAAGCAAAAATGTCATCTTTATAATAGTTTTGTTTAATAAAATTCAACACCCTATCCACTATTTTTATTTTTTTTGTTTATTTTCATTTATATATTAAAACTATATATTAATAATAATTAAAACTAAATAACTAAAAAATAATATAAAATTTAAATAATTTCTTTGTAATATATTCAAATAATAACACAAAGAATAGAAAATAATTTTATTAAAATAAATAAAATTACAAAAAAAAAACTCAAATTGCAATACAATACATAAATAAACACCCCACACTTTGACAAAAAAAACACACACCACACAACTAGAGAAACACACATGACTTAATTGTTATAACAAATTCAACCAAAAAAATAAAGCTCTTAAATCCCATATAGAGATTTAAAATCTCTTTAATCATGAGACTGTCCAAATTTTGTCCATATGTGTTTGATTAGATCCGCTTGCAATTTGTGATGTATATTTAAATTACGCAGCTTAGATCTAGCATGCACATGATTTGCTAATGCAGGTAGCACCTTGGTAAAGAATGATCACAGTGAACTAGACCTATTTGCCTCAGATTGATCATAATTGGTCCAATTTTGTAGATATGTATCTCGTTCATCCTCAACATTCATATTATGCAATATGATACATAACCTCATGATAATAGCCAAATCAGCTATGTTCCACATCCGAGCATGTTCATGAATGATTTTGAATCGAGCCTGCAACACTTCGAATGCACGCTCAATGTCGTTCTGATATGCCTTAAGATGCTACTGCTTCAAGAATAGCAGTGGTGGTTCTTTTATCTCCTTGAGTAAATTGACCTTCCCAGGCCGTAGGAGAATATTTCCATTCCCAGTTCATGCAATTAATACTTCTAATCATCCCTGGAAACCCTCACATTTCACTAACGTGTAGAATTCATTGCAGGTCATCTTGAGTTGGAGCTCTTAGAAACATTTGCTCATACAATTGTATAATTACTTTACAAAAGCTACACAAGAACTCCAATGCTGTAGTACCTCCTATTTTGATGTATTCATCAACCGCATCGGCCGCAACACCATATGATATCATTTGCATGGCTGTGGTACATTTTGCCAATGGAGAAATACCTTCTTTCTTGGCAGCGTCAAATCGTTGAGTGAAGTAGTTGTCACTGTTTGATAGGTCTGTAACAATCCAAAGGAAAACATGTTTTCGCATCCGGGATCACCGACGAAACACTGCATCATCATATATAGGTTGATTGGCAAAGTAGTCATCAATCAATCTTTGATTGGCAGCTACGTGATCTCTCTTGAAGTATTTTCTATTGTTACGAGGTGTATAGTCCTCTTTTATTTTGTTGTGACGCTCTCTAAACCGGTTGAAAATATACTTTTCTTCAATTTCACACTGCTTCTTGTAATCTTCGACATTGAAAGAAAATTCTGATGGATCCATTGATATTTTTTAAGGATGATGAGATTTGTGGTATTGGTACATCAATGGAAGAATGACTACTTATTTATAAGAAAATGAGTGGTTGAAATAACTGGAATCCAAACAAATATTACATTACATTTTAATACATAAAGATAAGATTTTTTTCTTCAAAAGCCGAAAAAAGACAAAAACACATTATTAAAGAAGAAAAAGACAAGCACACATTAATTATTAATAAAGAAAATTACAAACACCCATTATTAATGGTATAAAATGATGAAACAGAGACATGCATTATTAAAGGAGAAATCAAAGATTAACGACAAAAAATAATACTGCCAAAAATTACGGATTTTTTGTCAAAAAATTAAAGATTACAGACATAGAAATATTATTAAAGCAGAAAATGACAATGACACATTATTAAAGCAGAAATTGACACACACATTATTAAAGAAAAAAAGGACAAGCACACATTATTAAAGGAAGAAATTACAAACACACATTATTAATGCTAAAAAATAACAAAAGCGATACACACATTATTAGAGGAAAAATCAGAAACAACATTATTAAAATTAACAACACACTTGACATCATTTAATTTCCAAATAGATCATGGCCTAGCTTCTCCAACAGATTTTTTTTTTGCGATCATCGAGATGCTCTTTTTCACTTAGAGCATCTCCAATGTATTCTTCCATTTTTGTCTCCAAAATGGATTTCAGTTTCTTTCCAATGTATTTCTCAATTTTTTACTCCAAAAAGAATATTTTAAGTATAGTCTTTCTTTTTTATTTTATAATAAATTACTAATAATACACTTTAGTTATAAAAATTATAAATGAACCCGTTTATGTTTTTTATTACCTTTTAAAACTTTCAGAAATAAGAATATTATTTTAAAATTTAACCATTATAATATTAAAATAACATTATATTATATTTAAATAACAAAAAAGTACATTTTAATTTATATATCACAATTTTATGTTATTTCTAATTTCAGTTAATACTATTATATTTTTTATTTTCTATCCTCAATTTTAAATTTATCAATCTTTTATTTTTAATTAAGTAAATATAATATGAAAGACTAAATTATAAATAAAAAATATAGTTTTAAGAATTTATAAAAAATGAATGACTAATTTATAAATTAAAAAGTTCAACTGAAAAATGGAGTTACTCCTTATTTGGAGGAAAAAATGGCATTCCTCCATTTTGGAGGTGAAAATAGAGTAGGATTATAGAAAACTTTCCTACAAAATGGCATTTGGAGAAAGAAATGGGGTAGAGTTATGCCCTTAGCTTCAGAAAAATCTTCATCTTCTTCAATTGGTTTGCCTCTTCTTGTTTAATGGCTATTTTGTCCAATCGTTCCAACTCTTGCTCCTTGAATTTTTTAAATTCATTCCACTCTTCGTTGACCACTTCCAAAGCTACGTTATTGCCTTTCTTTTTATCCTACTTTTTAGCTACATCCCTCCCCTTTAGACGAACACTAGATCCTACAGAGTTGGAATCACTTGCATCACTCTCACGGGAACTCTTAGATCCACTACTTCCTGATCCAGTATTTTCTCATACCTGACTACCATAACATGGTTGATCACAAATAATGTGTTATTCCGACATTAAATTAAAGCTAACATTTGTACCATTTGAATATAATTAATCTGTTTTTGCCATTAGATAATTCTCTGACCACCCACTTTTTTGTAGATGCTTAGCATTATCATAAGCTCTAATCCATTTGCCCACTATTTTGTTCATGTAGTTAAAATGATTTATGCACAAAGATCCACCACGTGGAGGTTGAAATGAGCAATGCTCATTACAAAATTCAGAAAAATTTTTCCAGTAGGCTTTGCTTTTTTTTTGTTTCTTCCAACAACACTGTCTGTTCCATATTTAATCCATATACTGAGTAGCACCGAATTTTGATCTGTGGTCCATTTGGGGTTTTTCTTGCGAGTAGGAGTTGATTTCTCCATAGTTGGACTGGTCACATTTGCACCACTCTCATTTGGACCGCTCGTACCACCAAAACCATTTATGTTGAAAATTCTGGAAATTCTTTTGCTTGAGATGAATACGGCATCATCGAGGCATAACGGATATGGATGATAATTTGGAACAACTGACGGCATCGTGAAACTTGGTGCAAATCCATAATTTGGTATATTTTAGAGGTGTGGTTGATTGGAATACTGATTAGGAATTTGGCAATTGTTGGGATTTAGGTAGTGAAAAGGATGAGTATTAGAATTTTGGGTATTGAAATGGTTGTTATTGGGATCCATGTTACTCAAAATGTGTTTAAAAATAAGGGTTTATAGAATGATAGTTGAATAAGAAAAAATCAATAAAAAATTCTGTGTTCAAATTAAATGAAACAAGCCTTTATTTATAGAGTACAAACAATTGTAGATTTTGGTATAACTTTTTTTTA